ATGTGAAAACTTCCCCATTGTGACTCTATACCTTGTCCCCTCAGGAATTGTGAAAGTTATTCTCTCCCTTGACAAAATTTCTAAAGTTTACACAGACAGCAATGCGTGTATTATTGATTGAATCACATGAAATACCAATACGGGTTCAGCCAGCAGGGCTAGCATTCTTAATCTTATTTCCATTGACCCCTAATTGGGCCACAAATAGCTTTTAAAGGTGCCTTTCAGCCCCCTTAAAATTGTACAAACCTTTTATGCTTAAGAGCCCATGTGACTTCAGTTTTGAGGGGAGAGGGGGCACAAGCATTAATAAATTTCTGCTCACCCCAAATTGAGACCATGGGTGTAGTCAAAAGAATATAAATCCTAATGTGAGAACACCTAAGCTCCTTCCTTTGTCTCACATATTTACGGAAAAGTCACATAAGCTTTCAGAATCCTAGTTTCCACTTCTACAACATAACATCTATATCTTGGGCGTAGTATAGGTTAAAAAGATCAAACAGGAATAAAACCCCCTGAGCCTGGTAGATGTTCCAGCACACATGTGATCATGATCGCGCTGGGCAAACTGTGACACTCTCCGCAACAGATGGTAGGGCCTGCCTGGTCTCCCCTGGTCCAGGGCCTTCCCTTTTCCTCTGGAATCAGGTAGTGCCATAGATGAGCGAAGACGGAAAGGCAGAAAAACAACAAGCCCTTAACTAACCAAAAGCATTTTAAAACCTCAGAGGAGATTCTTTTCAAGTTTGTGGTATGGTTGCTGGGTCTGCTATCCAGTGACCACCACAGAGGATGACCTGGAAGTCGAAATGCTTGGCTTGGGAGCATACTGAGTGCGTCTGTGCCCAGCAGGCAGATTGAAGAGGGATTCTTAAACCCTAAAAGTTCCACATTAGAGAGACATTCTTTCAATCTCACCCTCACCAGCGGCCAGGGGTGAGACCCGGTAGACAGCATGCAGTCTTTGGATGCAAAAGCAGCTGAGTGTGTGGGGCTGGCTTTCCCTGTCAGCTTCTGTCTCTCTATGAATTCTGTTTTCTCTTTGTTGTGAGGTATTCTGTGGATGCAGTCACTGTGCTAATTTTACTGGCAATCTCTCTATCCTGAGACCATTCCTCAGATTTAAGAATCACCTGCTTTTCTAGAAGGACTTGTCTCTTTCCTGATATCTAGCTATAGTTTTCCCCCTTGTAAGAGACATGTTCAGATTAATCTTACATTGCCCACATTATCCATGAGTGCAACGTTGTAGAAACAAATAATAAAATGTTAGAGAAAGCTCATGATCCTTTGGACCCTAGAGCACTTTGAATTTTTCTCCTGGGCCATGCCTGGAGCATATCTTAGATCTGAGTAATTGCTGAGAGATCCTTCAGGGGACCTTTGTCCTGAAGGGGACAGGTGTTCATAAGCATGCATTTGGTGTGGTGATCAGAGCAGTGTCACACTTGCAGTGACAAAGGTGACATAGGGGAGACTAAGTGAGCAGAGATTCCTATTGCCAAATTTTCTGCTCTAGCAACCATTTGTCTTTCATGTCTAGAAACAAAATTCGCTACTTATTTCATATAAAGAAAAACTATGAATTTTTTTACATACATGTGTGACTTGGCTGTGGAAAGAACAACATTTTAAAATATACTAAAATATGGAATACACCTTCAGTTTTCCAGTTATAGGAAACTAGACATAGGTCCCTTCTAGGAGTTCCTATGTCTCTATGTACAGCAAAAGTAGATTTTTTTATTAAACACATATTAAACTGAATTTTCTGAAAACTCTATTAAAATGACAACATGCACATTTGATGTATTTTTCATAGATTCAGTTTAAAAAATAGAGACTTATTCCATACTGAAAACATCAAATATGGACAGTTACTGTGGAAGCAGAACCTGAAGTACCTCTCCCCATTTCTCGAAGTGTCAACTGAAAACAGCATCTATGAAATTGCTTAGCCTCTACATCTCAGGAAAGCACAAGTCTCTATGTTTTAAAATATAGGAACGTATGTTTAATTTTAAAATTTTGTTTTTCACTTTTTCTTCTGCTGTATAAGCATGATCAAAAATATATTTTTTGTAAATAAGAATTGTTGAACTTTGAGTCCTTACTAAACAATAGGCACCGTTCCATTTGTTTTCCCATGAAATTTCATTTCATCTTCATAGTACGTCCACGAGATAGAGAACATCCCTATTTCTCAGTAGCAAAAAAGAGGAATCCTAGGCTTAGAGAGGAGAGATGGGTGGCTAATAAAGACCAATCCAAGAAGCAAGCCCAGGGTTTCTGTCTGGCCAGCTGCCTCTGTCTCTAGAACTGTGAATTTACTTGAAGCCTTTTGCTCCTGCTTGGGCTGACTGCCGTATATGCAGATTCAGACTAGTTCCTACTTGGGGGGCTCTGATAGTTGGATAAGAGAGTTTCTACTTCCCTGTGCTTCTACTTAATGTTGTGGAACATACTTGGGGCTCAGAAGAGAATGCAACTTGGCCGCCTTTCCCTGTTACTGTGAGAGGAAATGCCCAAGACTCAGCATCCCATAACTTCATCAAATGCTGTCTCTCTTTGCTGTGTGTAGCCCAACATTCCTGGGTCTCCTTTGTATGTCTCACCTGGGGTTTTCCTACTTAAGCCACAGCCTGAAATCCTGGCATTGCCTCTTCCCACAAATCACGGCACAGAGGCACTGCCACCAGGAACAGGCTTTAATATTCAAAGTAACTTGGTATCCAAAGACCCTTGGAGCAAGGAGGCACTTTGCAAGAAGATGCAAAATAGGTCGGAAGTTTTGGGCACAGGCCCTCAGGACAGAGAAACACACACCGCAGACCCACCTCTACTAACAAGTTGCAGGTGGGTGGTATCTATTTTGGGACCCAAAAGAAGATGCGAAGACTGAACTTCCCTGTTTCTTGTTGAAGCCACTTCAGGCTGAAGCCTATTGGGGTAAAGCCACCAGGTGCTTGTTTGGACTCTGTCTGGTCCTGTCTCAGAAAATGACCCAGGACTTTCTTCCAGTACTCAGATCTCTTTGGTGGTTTGTGGAAAGGAAGAGGCTGTGGGAGTTCCTAGGGGGCTTTGATGTCACTTGTGTTGGACCTGAGGGCTTTGAGTTGGGCTCTTGGTTACCTTGGGAGGTGTTTCATGTCTAACTTCATCCAGCCTGGGACAAAGGACTTCGTATTGCAAGCTGGGACCTAAGGGTCTGCATACTTCTTAAATTATAAAGGAATATTTATTACTTCAAAGGGGGGTAAATGAGAAGCGAGAGAGAAAGACACTGTAGAAAGAGAGTGTGTGGCTGCTCTTTCCCTCAAAGGAAGAGAAGGAGGGAAACTGTGCTTCTTTGACCACTGCCAATCATAAAATCACCCTAATTAAGCCATCGAGGCCAATGGACACTCTGTAAACACATTGCCAAGACTCAGGAAAAATCAAGTCTGCGGACAAGAAAGAATTCCCGTTAAAATGAAAAGCATATTTTACTCTCCTGTGCCCCTCTTTTAGAGGAGGTCCCTCCTAATAGATGTTGTACTCGGCTTTTACACTGAGAGCTATTTTCCTGGTGCTTCATCACCCTTATTAACCTAATAGAAAGCTACAGAAACATACACTGGACCTTGTAAGGTCCAGCACCTGATTCCAATAATGTATCAACACCAAGGAAAGTGTAGCTGTTCTCAACAGAAATTAACAGTAATGTTCAGCTCTAGGAAATAAAATGAAAACAGGAGGCTCAGCACCCATAGCACAGTGGTTATGGCACCAGCCACATACACCGAGGGTTGCAGGTTCGAACCCGGCCCTGGCCAGCAAAACAACAACTGCAATAAAAAAAATAGCTGAGTATTGTGGCAGGTGCCTGTAGTCCCAGCTACTTGGGAGACTGAGGCAAGAGAATCGCTTAAGCCAGTGGTTCTCAACCTTCTTAATGCTGTGATGTATTTTCATTGTTACAAAGGGGTCGTAACCTACAGGTTGAGAACTGCTGGCTTAAGCCTAAGAGTTGGAGGTTGCTGTGAGCTGTGACTCCACGGCACTCTACCCAGATGTCATAGTGAGACTCTATCTCAAAAAAGAAAAAAAAAGAAAATGAAAACAGAATTACTGCATTAAATAATTTCCACTGGTGTGGAAAATAAAGATTAGACTCTCAGTAATAGTTAGCAGAGGGACTGTATTTTATCTTTCAACTTCTAAGATGTTTTCTTGCCTACTAAAGAATTTCTAGTGATAAAATGTTCCATAGTTTACTTTGAGAGTCTATATTAGTGTTAATCAGCCTTACTATCTAGAAACATTCCTGATAAGTAGCTTAATTTTCCTGGCCTCAGTGCTGGCTCATTTACCAGGCGGGCTCAGGGTATCTATGCCCGATGCACCAGGAAGTCTGTGTGAGAATGAACTCTGTGGCAGGTCCTAGTCTCAGACTCAATAGACCTGCAGTAGCTTGTCCTCCATGTCAGGGGTCACACGATAAGTAAGAAGGTCTGTGAAAAATTTAATTGGGAGACAGGAAAATGGACAAAGATAACTAGCTGTGGCAGCCCAGAAGTAGGAACAGTTCAAAATAAAATGTTAGTTTAACAATCATCCTTTCCACTTTTCTCACTTGGCAATAAGGCGGTATTGACTGGATTTGTGGTGGCTTATTGTCTCCAGAAGTGGTCCCTTTGAGTGACCATTTAGAGAAATTTAAGAAAAACATGTCCATGTTAAAAAAAGAAGAAGAAGAAGAAGAAAACAGTTGAGGTAAATAGTCTCAGAAAAAGATGGGAAGCTTAGTAGCTGAAAATCCTCTTCTCATCTGGACGACTTTTGGTACAACTTTGAATACTCTTCTGCGCACTGCTCCATGCTTCACCATTTATAAAGGAGAAGGGGGCTCTTGTTTATAAATGGTGAGCTGTCTGAGAAGAACTAAAATGGGTATGGCACATACCCTGATAGCCCAGTGAAAATAATGGCTCATACATAAATGTGCTTATGCCTAGGTGTGTTTCAGTAGACCAAGGGTGGCCACAGCAATTCTCATTTTCTTGACAACTGATGGCCTGGTCCCTGGGGAGCATCGGCAGCCAACAGTGACCCTCTACCTGACTGATATCAGTGGAAGCAACCACTCTTTTGGTGAGTCTGACAATTATCCCTTTAGGGTCACAAGAGGACAACTCCATAGACCCAGGAGTCAGTCTGATGTCTGTCTCTAATACTGTTTGGGATCTTGTCTATATCACAAGCCTATTGAGAGGATAAAATGAATATTAGATACAGAAATTTGGTTCTAGATGAATGGCTTAAAAGATTCCTCTCCTTATTTCTCTTCAGGAACCTATGAACTGTCATGCCAGCAAAACCCACTGATCATCAATGTGACCCATCACCTGAATGTCCTCTTCCACCCTACCACCTCAGTGCTGCTGAACTTCTCCTCCCCTCTGGTGGGCATCTCAGCCGTGGCTCTAAGGACGTCCTCCCACATCAGTGCTTCTGCTCCTGATAACTGCATCTCAGAACAGAAGGGTCAAAATCATCAGGGACAGAGGTACAAAGTCTCCTTTCTTTCCCACCTCCCTTTTTCTTGTGGCTATGATCAACTGCTATGGTTCAGTTACACAGTGTTGTCTATACAGTGCTTGAACAATCACTAACTGAAAAATGAATATGGAGACTACTCAAAAGACATAGGAAGCAGAGAAAGAACAATTTGTAGAAGCTACACTAGGGTTTTATATTTTACTCTTTTTTTTTCTTAGCTAAGCATAATTTTTACATAAATATTGAACATTGTTACAAGGTCTTAGCATGTTTTATTTGACTTCAAATCAATATTGTTATATAAACTGCCAAAAACTCTCCGCCAAAATCTCAGTGTTCCCTCGGCTATGTATATTTGTATATTTTTCCACTTTCTCCCACCCAGACAGTGTGAACAGTAAGTTTAATAATTACTTGTGAAGGCAGGCCACATTATCATTTAGACTTATGTGTGGAAATAGGAAATGCATTAGCTACGTGTGTCTCTCTGTGGGTATCTAGACATCTTGACATCTAGACCTTGGTATCTTGACCATCTAGGCAAATGCAGCTATGAGGCTGGCTGGAGCCTTGGCAGCAGCTAGCAGAGGGACTGGACTTTACAATGCTAGTGTGGCCCACACTTGGGGAAGGGGGCACTCCAGACACAGCAATCTGTGCTGCAGTTGGGAAGGAATCATTCTATAAATGCTCTCATCAATTGAGTGGCACTGAAGGTGACAGGACTTATTCCCTCAGGTAGAGAGGTGAGGTCACCTATTTGGGGCTCCAGCAGTGCTTCATCCAAGATGTATCAGGAACCCAGAGCTGACAGGGACAGGGAGTAGATGGCACTAATGTGGTACCTCAATTATCTATTGCTGTGTAGCGAAATATACCAAAATTTGGTGGTTTGACACACACACAAAATTCTTTGGGTGAGAAATGCAGATGTAGCACAGCTGGGTACCTCTGGCTTAGAGTCTCTTATGAGGTTTCATCAGGTTGTTGGCTAAGGTTGCAGTGACCTCCAAGCTCAAGCAGAGCTGGAGAATTCACATCCAAGCTCGCTCTTGTGGCTGCTATCAGGCCTCAGAAGAACGACATCCAAGCTCACTCACAGTGTCTGGCAGTGAGCATGCTCACACAGATGTGGCTTAGCCCCTTGCCACGTGGGGCTCTCCACAAGCTATCTCAGTGTCCTTATGATGTGACAGCTACTGATCCAAGAGAGAAAGACAGCCAGAGAGGGCGAATACATGAGAGACTGCCCAAGAGGGAAGCCATAATCTTTTTATAACATATTATTGGAAGTGACAGCCCATTACTTCTGGCATAATCTGGTCGTTAGAAATGAGTCAAGAAGTCTAGCCTGTACTCAAGGAGAGGTGTTTGCATATGGGTGTAATCACTGGGGGCCATCTTGGCGGCTGTCTGCCACATGCAATAATAGTAGTTTATGTTTATTGAGCACTAACTATGTGCCAGGTATGGTCCTAAGTGCTAGGAAGGGAGAAATAGTAAGTGATAGAGTCTGGATGAGGGACATTATAATGTTAGCTAGTTGTTCTGTCATTCTAAAGTCTGCTTGGTGAGCAAACACCTACAAGTGTTAACACAAGAATGTAGCCTATAAAAATAACATTTACTAGAATTATTGCCTCTCTCATATATTTTCAAATTATTTTCTCTACTGGCTCTACCTCTGGCCTTCAGCCATGCAGAATTTCTTTCAGGTCCCTGAAACATGTGTTCCTGATGAGCTTTGCACATAATGTTCCTACTTTCTTGAATGCCTTCCAGTCCTTCTTCATTTCAACTCATAACCTCCCCCCGCAATCAGGACTTACCTTCTGTGGAGTTTTGGCAAACTCCCTCCCAGTTTCCACGGGGACATAATACCATAACCTAAACTCTGAAAAAGTAGTTATCACTTTAGGTGGTAACTATTTATTTCTTTGTCATTCTTCCCCAGTAAACCAAGTTCCCTGCAGTGGGGATTCAGCTCAGTACCTCATGGTAGTTAGCAGAAGGCCCAGCACATAACAGGTCTGAAAACTAGGTTGAATGACAGCCATCAGCTTTATCTCTAAATGCTGCAAGGAGTGGAACTGAGCAAGTAAACCAACAAAGTAGAAGCCTTGACCTGTCTAGACATAAGGAACAGCATTCCCCTCACCATCATAGCTGAGAAGTTTCAACAAAGAAGTGGCTTCATGGTAATCACTGCTGCTGGTTCTTTGCTTATTTCATGTGGCACTGTGGGAAAAACAAGCTTTATATGCATGCATGCAAACCAATGGAAATAGGATATGATTCTCCCATTTAGAGAGTGTATCTGGAATGCATAAGCATGTCTGGACCGCATGTGACTGACAACAGCCATGCAAATTGGCTTTCCTTGTCAGCCAGCAGATCAGTGCAATATAGTAAAGTTTGATACACAGGGAGCCTAATAGACCCCATTTGTTTTAATTGTGAATATATTTAAAACCAAAGTTCTTATGCTCTTTCAAAGAACAGAAGTCTTTTTGCAGCATTTTATAAATCATAATTGTATATTGAGACTTACCATAACATGAAACCCTCAAATTCTAGGCACAGTGAGAGGGATTGCTGGCTACCTCCTTCTTGCCCCTTATAGTCTGAATCCCATTAATGCTTACATGAGGGGGGAGAGCTGACGGATGCCTGGGAGTAGAAGACGTGTTATCCATTTTGCATTTAGCCATTAATGAGCAATGACCTGTCCCTCCTACAACACTACTTTTTTAAACCAGCCTGATTAGACAGTTTCAGCAGAAAACTTATAAACTTAAGTCTGGCTCTCTGGTCTTTGCCTTAGACAAATGGTCTTTCCCTACTTCACATTTAAATAGCAACAACACAGAAAAATATGAAAACATTTCTCAGCATCTAAAACCAAGACAGGCAGTCAGAATCTCCTCCTGATTACAAACATATTGGAGTTAAAGTAAGAAACGTGGTGGGAAGCCAAAGTATTTTGTGTTTTCTGAAAGAAAGCAAATAGTGAATGGAAACATACTAAAAGAAGAGGGGGAGATAGGTCATTCGGACCTCATTCCTGGGCCGCTTTCACTTGTATCTGTCTCTTAGTCTTAGCTTCCATCCTGTTTTGATGGCTTCCCAATTCATGGCCCTTGGACCCTTTGGCCTTAGTCTACTCATCTTGAATGCCTTAATCTTGAACACCAAGTTTTGTTTTCCTGGTGTTGCCCTCCCACCCCCAGGGCTCAATGTGAGCTTAACTCATTCTTATCCTTCAGCTGTTTCCAGCTCTAAGCTTCAGGGAGAGGTTCTGTACAATCTACCACAGTGCCAAGATAGACCTCCAGTCATCCCGAGATTGCATTGATGGCTTGGAGAAGTGGAAGCTATCTTTTTTTGTTGTTGTTAATGTAATGGGATTTGGAGTATGTTTGAAATATAATGCAGGCACTAATACATTACATATTTAATTTATCTAGCTGAGTAAATTTGTTCACAGATAATCAGGACTCTTAAGTTTCTACTTTGAAAATTCACAAGGTTGGGCAGTGCCTGTGGCTCAGTGAGTAGGGCACCAGCCCCATATACTGAGGGTGGAGGGTTTGAAACCAGCCTCGGCCTAACTGCAAAAAAAAAAAATAGCCAGGAGTTGTGGCAGACATCTGTAGTCCCAGCTACTCAGGAGGCTGAGGCAAGAGAATCGCCTAAGCCCAAGAGCTAGAGGTTGCTGTGAGCTGTGATGCCACAGCACTCTACTGAGTGTGATAAAGTGAGACTCTGTCTCTAAAAAAAAAAAAGAAAGAAAGAAAATTCACAAGGTCAATGTTAAAAGAATTTATCAATAGTCAAGAACTGTTGACGGGCATGCCATTTCTCCTGCAATAGAATTTTGTTTTTCTAGTCACATGGATATAATGGAAAAAATCAGTTGTAACTTCTCCAATTTTACCTGTGGCTGTATGCATAGGTGTTCCCAGAGATGAATCCTCTGGAGATGAAGAGCATCATCTCCTTTTCCAGGACATGGGCTGATGACAACTGTCAAAATCCTAATTACTCATCTATTTGTAGTGTTTGCATTTCTCCTCCTATCTATCTAGAATCCTCTCTCTACTGGCCCTAGGAAGAACCGAGAATGTGCTGTAAACCTTCCATACAACTGTGTTTCTTTCAGCATTTCTTTGTATTTCAAGGGGTTTTTGCTTTCCATGATTCCTTTCTTACAATTTAATGCCACATAATTAGGTATATAACATTTTGTGGTGTGTTTTACCCTAGCTTGTACTTCTTGTAACCCTTTTACCCTTTTAAATGCTTTTGGCTTCATATAATGCTTTGTCTGGAATTAAATTTTCCATCCCTGCTTTCCTATTGTTTGTATTTGTTTGATAAATATTTGTCTTTCTTTTATTTTTAACCTTTCTTTATCTTCACTGCCAATGAGCCCAAGGCACATAGTTTCACTGCACTATTTACAAAGACAGTAAGACTTTACAAAGTCAAACCACTCCAGAATTTTATTCTTAACATTTATTTTGTGATCCTCAAAGCCTCTAGGATTCTTTAGGACATTAGAGCATTTTTACCTTTGGAATAATTATCTCCCAAGATACAATAGTTTTTGCCGATACCTCCACACCCCACTACACTTCACCAAGGCCATAATACTTCCTGACCTGAAATCTTGAAATGAGAAAAGAAAGGATAAAACTGATGGGAGTCATGGATGGAGAACACATCTCCGACCAATGAAAAGCAGGGCCCGGTTTTCTAGTCTTTACAGGAGCCAGGAAATGAGGAAAGAATGACCTGCTTTTTTCTTTATTTGCTCTTTTTCAAAAAACAGAAAGTCCATACTTTGACTTTGAATGATGTTTCTCAGATTTTCTTCCACTTTTTTCAAACAGGAGGAAATCCTGACAGGTTCTGGCTGCCAGTCTTGTTTTCTGCTATTGATAAGAATTTTTCTGCTTTTCTATATTGTTGGTATTTAAGTGAGAAGCAAGGAGAAATAGCTAC